TTTAATATTGTAAAGATTTGAATTCTTAATTTTAATCTCAAATTAAAATTTTTAAGTACTAACTTAACCAAATTTATATTGAATTTTGATAGATATGATTAGAATTGCATTGCATTAAAAAAAATTCTGAAATATTATAAAAAAGAGTAATCGAAAGAAAATTTGGGTGGCATACAATTTTTTAATTTTTTTTAAACCTACAGCTATTTTGCATTTAAATTTGGAGTACTAATCAAAAGAGAAGTTTTAAGGAGGCGAAATGTAGTGGTAGTTCATTATTTCCGCATGCTTAAGGGCTAAAATTACTGTCCATTGTTCACTCTCCGAAGCACTTAAAACCACACAATTCTCAAGTGCCAAAAATGAGGAACTTTTCACCCTTAAAGCTTTCATACCCAAGAGTCCTTGTCCCCACCTCTCTACTTCCTAACGTTCTAGAGTAAGAGAGGCTTTGTTATTATTATTTCTTTATTAACACAAAAAAAAAAAAAAAAGTTATTTTATCGCTTTATTTATAAATCATTCTTCTTTAATAATTACTGATTACCTAAAAGATGAGTTCCGAAATTCATCTAGAGAAGTTGGAAGAAGGCCATAGCAAGGTTGGTGATGATGAGTCTATAAGCCGAAAAGGTTTTAGGTTTTGCACTTCTCAAGCCGTTGTTAAAAAAATCCAGAAGGTATAAGAGTTCTTTCTCTCTCTCTTTTTGTTTTTTTTTTTTTTTTTCATTCACAAAAAAATATTGAATTTTTTCCAATCATGTAAAAATCCAAAGCCGGTTTGCGTGTATTAGACTAAATATATCCTTCTCTCAGTTTTAATGGTTAATTAATTTGATATTTTGGGACAGGTAATTGCAGAGGCTATTGGAACTTATTTCCTGATATTTGCGGGATGTGGTTCGGTTGCTATCAACCGGATGTATGATAACGCCATAACATTTCCAGGAATTGCAGTGACTTGGGGTCTTATTGTCATGGTCATGATTTACTCTGTTGGTCACATCTCCGGTGCCCATTTCAATCCTGCTGTCACAGTCACATTCGCCATTTTCCGAAACTTTCCGATAAAAGAAGCACGTTTCTCTGTCAATCGTAAACTGCTAATACATGTTTTAAAATCACGTACATACACACACATATACAAGGTTTCTAATATTGATATCAATGTTTGTTTGCAGTTACCCTTGTACATAGGGGCACAACTAGCAGGATCGCTTCTTGCAAGCGCAACACTATGTTTTCTATTTGATGTACCACCAGAGGCTTACTTTGGAACGGTGCCGGCCGGATCCAATATCCGATGCTTTGTCTTCGAGATAATCATATCCTTCCTGTTGATGTTTGTTATATCCGGTGTCGCCACGGACAGCCGAGCAGTTAGTGCCCCTTGCATAACTAATTAATTTTCGTTGTGTGCTCATAATAAAAATAGATTTTAAATGGCTCTACGAAAGCATATACTGATTAACAGTTTCTTCAATTTTGTTCTGCAGATTGGAGAGATGGCTGGAATTGCTATTGGGATGACAATTCTACTGAATGTCTTCATTGCTGGGTAAGGGTTTAAGAT